CATAACAACGATATTTAAAATATTATTAATGTTATTATTATTTTTTTATTATAACTTTAAGGATCTTTAACATTTTCGCGAGTGATGCGCGTAATGCGTATACCCGCGTGATTATCCGCGGAAATCGCAATATTATTTTCACTCACGATTTTCATTTAAACTATTTTAAATATTTAATTATTTTTCTCTTATTCCTGACCTATATACACATTCATCGTAAATTACAGTTGCGCATAGACATTATTATATTACATAGACAAATCACACGATTAGATAGCCGAATACTGATAAATAATTTACAAAAAAAGGAGAGTTGAACCGGGGACGGGTGTGCCACTGTTGTAGGTGGGAAGTCGGGAAGGTAGGATATACAGGACGCTTCACTAAGTGTTTTCACCTGCTCACCTCATTTTCCTTTTTTTTATTTTTCTTAAATTTTTCATATAATCAAATTATAATTTTTGGAATTCTTTTGTAGATAGGTTTTATAATATAGGTTTTCGATTGAAAAACAAAAATTAGCATTATCACAAAATACCTCTTTAATGTTATGATAAATGTAAGTATTCTTAAAAATCGGCTTTAACGACACTTAAAAATTCCAAAAATCAAAATTTGAATGTATGCAAAATTTAACCAAACAAATGGTGTGAGCACGCTCAGTGCACCACCATGTATATAATGTTATTTAACTCATATCTGTGAGCAACGATAAACCATTGCTACTGAAAAGCGATTCAGAATAAAGTTCGATTATACATTTTATGAAAGGCCGTATTATAGTTACGATTTTCGCCGAAATTTAATATTAAAACTACTGTGAAAAAAAAAATACTAAATTAAACTCAATTTTTTTTTTCATCACTATCTACGACCTATAATGATTCTCCTGTTAAATTTTCAAGCATTTCTGTTTGGTCAAAACAATTTGATCCACACAGTACTTGGTATTTGCTAAATAAAAATTACGTTAAATACTCGCAAAATTAAAATGGCTAAACATTGTTCAAACATGACTCAAATGTTAATAAATTATCTGAATTTGATTTATATGAATTTTAATCGATTTAAAATTGTTTATATTTCATTCTTGTATTTTCCATTTAAAATCGCATATATTATATGTATAAAAAAAAAAAAAAAAACGGTTTTTTTAAATTTATCAGTTCCTTCCATATAGATACACATTACCTATATAAAAATAAATAAATACATTTATTAATATTTTAAGGATAATGAAATATCGTGTTTTTAGGTTATAATAAAACAATAACGTGGTGAATTACTCTAGAGGCCGTGTGGTTCGAGTCCACGTCTACTATAATGCAGCATATCATCAAAACAACAAACGCCTTGTAAAGTTGTAAATATTGTTATAGCACTTGCGTATTTCTTTTGATAGGTTCTAGAGATACCTCTAAGTTAACTATAGATTTGCTTCTGATATCCATGAAGTAAATTTAGAAAATTTTTTTTTGCAGACGTGTATATTTTGAAGTTTTGATGCTATTTGGTTACTTATTGGTATATTTTAATATTTTTAGTGCATATTTAGACATTTATATATTATTATAAATGTTTTAAAGAACACTATTCATTGCTCTTGTAATAAACTTTCTTAGAGCTATAAGTTACGATTATGTTAATATAATATCGTTTGGTTATGACCAATGAATTATTAGACATTATATGAGTTTCCAATATGTCATTTATGTAAGAGGACTATTTTATTAATATGCGGTAGACATTTTGAGAGTAGATCATCTTTAGTAGACCCTTTGTCCGTGAACTGTTCATGTTTATAGTTAAAAAAGTCATTAAAAGTGTTTTAGACTGCGGAGAATTTGATAAGTTTCAATAAGGATCCCTGTGGAAACTAGTTAGTGAGCCCTGGTTTATAGTTTACAAACAACGTATCAAAGAGTGACGATAAGGAAGAGGGTATTTCGGGTAGGCGGGTGGATAAAAAACGAAATTAAATCAAATTCTTCGCTTCACCGCCGCCGTTATTGGTTATATACGTTCTCCGCCGTGGTTTTCGATGAAAACACGTATATACTTGTTATAATATGCCTAAAGTTGTGAACAGAACCCCGATATGGTAGTTTCATAAAGATGATCGTCGAATTCCAGTCATTTTATACAGTATTAAAAACACGACCAAAGAGAGGAGGACCGTGTCCTATATAATGGGAAATTTCGGAATTTATGGTGTTTATAATAATAATATTACCTACGTTATGTTATATTATAATAAACGGGTCATCTGTGTGCAAGATGACTGCATGTGGAATGTTTATGTACCTAATTATGAGTATTTTTGTTATGAAATAACTACGGTTTTTTTCGAATAACATATTTCTCATTATGATTGGACCGCTGTTTTATGTGAAAAATAGCGAAAATGTATGAAAAATTGTAGCTAATCGTTTTCGTGTAGAATACACGCATTTTCCGATCAAGGTTTTTGAAACTGTAATGTATATATTATCCGAGTAACATGAACCCAAACCTATCTTAGATAAAGTAAATATATTATTTAATATACGACTGAGTGAGTAAAGTACAAACATTGATAATTAAATATTTTTACTCTGCATCCTGGAGTAGCAAAAACAAATGCATTTTAGATGCATCTGGTAGGGTCCTTCATTTTCTGCACACACTCGGACTGTTTTCAAAGAACTTTTTTCTTGATTTTAGATTTGGAGCGTAGCGAGGAATACATTGGTTTTATAATAATGTGTAAATATTTTTATTTTTTCTAACACAAATTTTTACGAGAAATCTTGATCCGATGTATCAAGTGGAGCAATTTTTTTAAAGCGAATTTTAATTTGTTGGTACTTAAGGGAAATCATTTTTTGATTTTCTCAGGGGTTTTCGTAATGAATGGAAAAATTGGGAAAAAATGTGTGAAAAACTGGACAATTTATAAAAATAATGTTTTTATAATTTTAAAATTTGGTTTTTTTGTTGTGTTGTAATTTAGTTTAAAGTTTTCGTAGAGACTTGAAACTTGAATTTTTGAGCTTTGATGGACATTTTAATTTTGCGAGTTTTTTATGTAATATTTATTCGGTATAGGTAACTTAGTAGATCAAATTGTTGGACTAAACAAAAATTTTTGAAAATTGAACTAGAGGTTTATCATAAGTCGTACTTTTTAATAAAAATAATAATAACATTAATGTTTTTTTTCTTTTATAAGAATTTTAATATAAAATTTTGACAAAAATCATTTTAGTAATGAATTATGTACTAAGATGTGTGACTATTAAAATGTATAAAATTGTATTACTATAATACCACTTTAATATGTCATTGTTGAAAAAGCAATACTATTAACTGAGCTCCGCTCAAAAACGTTTGTTGTTAGTAATGATTAATCGTTGCGTACAGATATACATTAAATTCTCTATATCCTACTTTCCCAACTTCTCGCCTAAAACAGTTTTTTTTTGTTATACACGATTATAGCCATACGGATAATTTATCTACAGCACACCGGCTAATGTATAGATTGATTAGATTATGTACATGTATATTATATTTTACATATTTAAGGTGGATATTATATAAACTACAACATTCATATACATAAGGTTTAAATTACCCGGGTAATGGGTAATATGTACACTAGGTACCTATTTTTGTAACTTACCGAAAATTACGAAATTTGTTGTCGAAATATATTAAATATATCATTGATTTTAATTATGTTTGTATTGAATATTTAGTCCGATTTAGCAATGAAAAATTATGTCCAGTATATTACTACTTCGACTATCGTGATAGATTTTATTTTTGTGAGCCTGGTACAAAATTTCCTGGCAACAAAAACCATCAAAATGATATATTTTTGTTTTATTTCACCTCTCTTCGCTACACATTACCTCAACAAACAATTATCACATCATCGGTCTTTCGACGTTTCTTATCGGTTTATTAGCTTATACATTTACAAAAGTATTAAAATATTATAAAAAATTAAATACCTATTACATATTATATGAAATGAAAAACTAATAGTTATCGCAATTTAAAACTTAATTGAATACTTTGAGCAAATTTCGTGATTTTTTACTAAATAAAACCACTTTTTTAAAAAATAAAAACTGTATGATCGTCTCAAAAATTTTCCAAATATTTCAGAAATTATCCACTGACCAAAAAAATTACAGATCTATGCGATAATTTCTTACTGACTTTTACTGATTATTTCTTATTCCGTGGGTCTCGTAGGATAAGGTCAGTGGCATCGTCGATATGTGTAGCGTGGTAGGAAGTTGAGGAGGGTCAATGGAGGTGTGTAATGCTCACACTGCACAGATGCGTCTCCTGGGAATTATCTCGATATCCTCGTTATTTATATCCTCCGTCGATGTTTTTTTCGATTTCTCCGTTAATGGGTTTTAGTTTTGTGCTTTGTTTTTTGTTTTGTTTTTTTTTTTCCGAACACTTGGAAAATAGTTTCGTGATTTTATTACGGACTCGTTTTTATGCGATAAAATCTTTTATAATGTAATACTAACGTATATATATATATATATATTATAATGGTGTAGTGGCCAGACGTAAACCATTTTAAAAATCTGTAGATATCCGTATACCGAGTGATCCATTTAAATGGATACACTCATTGTCTCGGAAAGAATAAAATTTTTTTAAAACAATTTTTTTCAACGACTAAAGAATTAAGTAATTCTGAAATGTTATATTACAGTGTTAACATTTTTTGATCGCCGTCAATCCTATGACGAGATTTTTCCACTTTTAAGTTTAGGTAGAGGGAGTTTAGTGGAACATTGTTAAAAAACCACTTGCCATATTGTCACATAAATGATGTTCCACTATTCTCCGCCCACCAAAATTAAAAAATTGGGTAATTTATAATTATAATAGTTAAATTGTCAAAGAAATATAAAAATAAAATAAATATTTGAAAAAAGTTAGTACTTTCCCGGATAATGGGTGCATCCACTTAAATGGATCATCCGGTAAGAATAAGAAATGAGCGTACACTTGTGTAAAAGAAGTTCAGCTATTGTGTTTCTATGCGACTAGGATACGAACGAGAATAAGTCAAGTTGAAAGACGGAATACCGTGAGACGAGTAAAGTTATTTAGGCGAGTAAGTTTGGTAATGTAATAATTTATTATTCAGACGGAATGCGGTGGGTAGAAGAAATAGCTTTTGGGTTAGGTTACGGTAGATATATTTTATGACGATCACCATATTATAATATCTACAAACACCGCAATTTCCGCGTATGCGAACGGAAATATAAATACTATAAAATAATAACACGTATACAAACGATATTATTCGGGATTTCAAAACTAAATCGCATTAAGTCAGAGTGCCAACATTGAGCGTGCACGTAAACCGACAATAATCACAGAGACACACGCACGCCATGACATGTCACGTATACGACATGTCGGATTAGTGTATTATACCTACCTATATAATATGACAAAAATTAGGTGCAGGTACACTCGACATACACCGAGCTAATTTAATGAATTTAATGCCCGAGAATTATTATTTAATCGTTACAACCTATTTAGAATAATTGTTTTAATCGTGATGTCAGCCAAACTCGCGAACTGCTACACGTCCCCGGGAAATCGACCGGTAATGCTGGTGTTGTATATTTTATAATAATAAATTTTACTAAAAACGAAAACTGTGCGGTACGATAGTCACGTGCGTATACTTTGAATCGATTACAAGGCGATATAATATTATAATAAAATTCACTTGCGTAAGACGAATCAACGCATAAATTGACTGAATCGAATGAACGTCGTTGATTCAGTGGTATAATCAGGGAGTGACAATGGGGGCCATGCCACTATACTGACATTCACCATATTTATTTGTTTCTAAGACTCATTTTCCCCTACATTACCGTAGGTATTTAGAAACACGGTTTGTCTATCGACTGTGGTCTATCCATGATAACCATCCACTCACCGATCGCAAACTTAATCATAATGTGTATGGATTACTTACGTGTTTTAACTATTACATGAAATAAAAATCAATACAATTGTTAAATATGATTGTATCGTGAAAAACCTTTTAGTTTTACTGAAAAGTGTATTTTTATTTTCGGGAAAACACTTTTAGTAAGTAAAAACGCTACGAATTTTTCACGCGATACATTCAATTATATAGATTTTCCGCTGAACTATACTAAACACTTAAAAAAAAAAAAATATATATATATAGCTTTTAATTTTTCCTTTAAGAACACATTTTCAGTTAAGTATAGTAAACATTCGTCGATTTTTTTCACGCAATCCCGTCGTAACAGATGCGAAATTTTTGACCGATGGTACACTGTTTTCATATATTCTTTCACTTCAATCAACGTATATTTACTTAAATATTATCAAACCTCTTCACATTTTCTTTTTTACATTCTGTATGCGCCGTTGTTCGAACATAATGGATTTAAATAATATAATATAATTAATTTAAATGCTATGATGATTTATCCGTCTGTGGATTTATCGTTAGCAGTTGATGTTAGTGAGTTATGAATTCGAGAAATTATTCTTCCGCGAATCTATATATTTACCTAGTTATCCTACCAAACCTCATGTTTAATCAATTATACGTTTTGAATACACCCGGCAACCGTTGTTGGTTGTTAATATTAATTTTATACATAATACATAATAATAGTGTGTAAAACCGGCGCGCGAATCTCTATAGACCGACTTATGGAATTAATTTATCACTGTTCCCAATATTAGAAACCCATGTAGCGTAGGTAAGCCGTTTTGCACTTTTCAATGGCAGCGATTGTATTGATTTTCGAATAAAATATTCGTGTTGAATCCCTCAACGAAATATTTTATTAACGTCAACTCAACCGTTGTGTACTCGGCGCTTCAAGTTCCTCCATCTCATTCCTCCCTCCTCCTCGCATTCGTCGTCAAATTGCCGTTGATGCGCCAGCGTCACTTGCATTTTTGAAAAGAATAAAAAAATATAATACCACGCAACCATGTTCGTGTGCACAATGTAGTACATGTATTCAATTTATAGTGATAAGCCGTTTGAGTAAAACGATCGTCCAGAGTAACAATATTAAAATAAGAATAATATGTGGCCTCGTTACAGACACTTCGAATTTCAATTATCGTTTGTTCGGGCAGTTCCAATATTATACTATTATCCAGAGGAAACCCCTCCGTTATCATATACAGAATAATAAAGATAAATCGGCAGTACGGAGAACTCGGCGGAACAAATATTATAATAATAATAATATTATTATGCGGATTATATTTGATATCTGTATATATTAATAATTATTATGATTGCATACAACTGACGAGAAAACACCACCCGATCAAATATAATTTTAATTAATGATTAAATTTACTTAAGCCTTATCTTCAACGTTGAAAATTATTAATAGGTATAATATACTGGTAAGTAAAAAAAAAAAAAAAAATTATTATTCATATTCACAATTCGAACAAGTTAAATAACACTACTGGTAAACGATAAATCTCTAGACTATAGAAATAATACGCAACGGATAGATAGATAGATAGGCTACATTGGTTAGGCACTTTTCTGGCGTTCCTTAAAATTTTTTATTATTCGGCAAAAATGTTTATGCTATATTCCATGAACTATAAGGAAGGTTTTGAAGGAGCGAGGAATGTCTTGATTTTACAATGTTTTTTTTTCTATGGATAACATTCCTACCTGTAATTCTATGCCAATTTACTATAATAGTACTTTTTATAAAAGAAAATCTGACTAAAGAGGTTCTTTAAGAAAGTCGTTTTTTTGATTTTCTCATGAGTTTTCCCAATAAATGTGAAAAAACGAAGAAAAACATGGGAAAAACGAGAAAATAGGTACAATATTTAACAAATATTATTAAAGAAAATGTATGGTGTTTATTGTATTATGTAATTATTTTACTAGAATATGACATATATATTGTTGACAAAGCAAAACTATCAACTGAAATCCGCTCAGAATCGTTTTTTCGTTAGTAATAGTTTATTGCTGATTACAGATATGCATTAAATTTCCCTTCTAATACTTTCCTAATTTCTCATCTATAACAGTAGCTGCAACTGTAGCTAGGACAGCTTTTTAATTTTTCTTCTGAGTATATAAACTGAAGCGAAACTGAGTATATTCTATGAAATATATATGTATAAATTATAAGTAAAAAAATATTAAATACGAGCGGATCAATTATCTGCTATCAATGTAAAAGAGATACTTTTTAGAGACACATATTTCAAATACCTGTACAAACTGTTAAAACAAATAAAAAGTAATTTACAAAAAAAACCAGAATTTCTTGACGAGAATGGTAGAAATTTGAATTTCCATCTCACTTTTTTATTCGGGAACGCAAACTCACTACGTACATGTTATATTTTACGCATGGCCTATAAATTATTACATTGCATTATCTATGCCCTTGGTGGATTAGTATTCAAAGGTTCACTGGCTCTTTGAAAGTCTTCGTATTAGATCTAATATAGTTTAAATAATCCGACACGTACCTATCCTTGGGTTCACGGAAAATCGAGTCGCCTGAATATAGTTGTTCTCCAACTTAATATTCCAATAATGTACCTATATGCGGTATCATACACTAGAGAGTTGAACGTATGTAAAGTAGTAGTATGTAAAAATCGGTGTTTTTAGCCGACAGTGATCTGAAGAACAATATAAATAGAAGAAGAGCTGATACTGCTGATAGAGATGGTAGATCATACCGCTGATATATTGTTGTATACGCAAAGTTGGGAAGGTCATATTGATATTTATATCTGTATGCAACGATAACTCATTGCAAACGGAATATGATTCTGAGTGAAGTTTGGTTAAACATTTTTGAACTGCCGAGATTTGTATGATTTTTGTTAAAATTTGAATTTAAAAATCTTATTATATACAAAATATAGCAAAATGCTCAACTTCTCCGAACCACCAATTATATTTCTTGTGGTTTTTTTAGTTGGAGCAAGAGATGTCTCGTAAAAAAAATATTTATAGACAGAAAAAAAAAATCTAAAAACAATATACGTTACACATTGAGCCCGGAATCTATAAAATAAACACTGCGTATACATAAAATATAAAATAATCGTATTAAATTTACCGTAGTTTTTTTTTTTAAATTAATTTTTTAGTAAATACAATTTATCGGAAAAATAAATTAACTACCACCAATTCTACCCTACGAGTTTTTAAACTATAAAACGTAAATATTACAATGTGTATGAAAAATGACACCGATTAACATAATACAATATACGCTTTTTTTAAAAACATTTTTATTTTTGGAGATTTATTTAATTAAAAAGTTATTTTGCCGTTTAAATCGGGTTTGAACGTTTTGGATGTACGATAATAAATTAGCACTTCTACGGAATAGGCCGTAAGGCATGAGTCATAATAAGCTTGTACAGTTTCAATTTATTGTTCGTATAAAAATCGTCCCATTATTTCTTAATCTATGATGATAATAAATTGCTTGAGATTTCCTTAAATGGTTTGGTATATTATGTTATTGGAGACCAAATAAGCTTCTCGATTGATCTTTCCATATTTAATGTGGTTAAATATATATGTATATATATTCCAACCTATCACTTAAGGTTTTAAAGAGCATTCTTAACATAATCAGACGTAAGTCAATTTTAAAATCAAGGACTATTCAATTCCATTAATTCGAATAACTTACTAAACTGATGCAATATTCATGTCGAGCATTAAATTTTTCGATTTCGACCCAAAGTTAATTTTAAAAATAACGAAAAACTTATGAGCATCAAACTTCCGTCACTAGAACCAAATGCCAATCCTCTATTTTTTTCTGTAAAACTATAAATAACCCACATACTATATACCTTTATACATAAAATACCATAGGTACTACAACTACACTATTTCGAAACAAATGGTAAAATTTTAGGGTAAAAATTGTAAGAGTGAGGTATGAAAATTAAATTCTCTAAAATGCTTATCTTTGATAAGATTGAACCTAACCTAACATCGTGAATAATATGAAAAATGTCATCCCACTGGATTTATTTGGCGATTCGTATTTCTGTAGAGGTCTTTAAAATAAAACGCTTTTTTCCCGCAATGACATGGTGAAATTCATCCAAACATTTTTCACTTCAATCTACCGAAAAACCATTTCCGAGTTTAAACTCATTTAGTTCAGACTCCAGAGACACTCGATAAAACTATAGAAAAGCAGCAGAAAAAGAATATTTAGGTATACCTATATAATATGGCAGACTTAATACAATGAAATAGTCTCTATTTTTAGGATAAATCAAAAAAACCAGCTCTAAAAAAAATAAAATAATACTTTCAAGATTTCCTTTAAAATCCATGGAAGTCTGTGGTAAATTAACAATCATCGAGTGTTGTAACAGTAATTTAGAACTGCAGGTATGCATACAGAGCTGTTACATTATATGTGTTGTAAGAGTGTGATTATTCAGGTTAAGACGAGCAGGAGTATTAAATTGAGTTGTAATTAATACTGCGGTTATTATTTTCTACAATAATAATATTATTCACAAACACTATAAGTGTAGAATATAAATATTAACATTTAATTTAAATCATACTATTATATTTAATATTTATTGTTATATTTATAATATTATCATAAATTAATTAATTTTCATTTAATTTGCGTTGAACTTCTCTGGATATTCCATATGATTTTCAACGGTATAAAATTGTATGTATTTTAGAGCTTTTTTTGTGTTATTTTAAATTTTAATCTATTTAGTTACATAATTAAATGTGAACAGCGCATGTATATATATATAGTACATTTATCAGTAATGGCAAAATAAAATTCGGTACGGAGGAATTTACAATTAAATAAATAAAAAGTCAGTCTTTCTTATAGTAAGAAATTAATCAATTTACCCGAAACGTGTTTCTTTGCGTGGGTATAGCATTGTTGGAAATCGCTGTAATCGTTTCATTATGCACGCTAGACAGCATAATCTCAATATAATCAAATTCTGATTAAATGTATCTGTGAAAAGACTGGCTGCAATGACTGTGAAACTTAAGTAATCTTTCAAAAAAAAAAAAAAATTAAAATGTATGCATATTTAAAGGAGTTATTATCGTACATTATATGACATACGTATATACGGAAGACGTTTTACAGGCAAGTTTGTTGATATAAATACATCAAACAATCGTAGTACAATCGAAACTAAACATCCATTGAACCACACATATTGCCAGTACACCGTTCATCTTTTATTCGCTTGTTATGTGCATGGTTACCTATTTAAACTTGAACGAAACTATATTTTTTATCATGAAATATAATAATATCGGTCAATAATTTATAATATTTTTCTCAATGTGAATTTTTTAAGTAATTAAAATATTATTTTACATGACTACAAATTTTTTTTGTTTTCGGGAATAAAATGCTGTCGAGTATTTTGATTCGGAAAAAAGGTCGGGAACACGTATTTCTGTTTCTTATTAAATAAGGAAAACTGAAAAAAAAAATGGTATTTGGACAAATTATTTATGTAAAAAAACATTTTATATGAAGATGCAAAGATCTGACATTTTTAAAATAGACGATGGACAAATCATTGGGGCCTTAAACAAAATCAAAATCTCGAATAGACTTCTAATCGTTAATTTCTGGGTTCTCTTAGGAAAGCAAATCATTATTTAAAAACGTTAAAAAAAAATAATAATAATAAATTCGTTGAAGTAATATCCCTTTAAAGTATCGTTTTGGACATTTAGTTGCATTATACCTATATACCCTACTCGTATACACTCGGATTGCATACATTTTTCTATCTCTACTATAAATGCAAATTACACCGCAAATACAGTTTTCATAAACTGTATTATACGTACCTATAAATAGATTACCTATACATTTTAAAACGATTCGTTTGGTGTCAGGGTAGTCATTTTTTTTTCGAATACAGAATAAACATAAAATCGATATAAAATCCTTGTATTACAAACAAAAAAAAAAAAAACCATTTCTCTCTTTTTTTTTTTTTTTTAATATGTACGTGTACACACGATTGTATGAAAATAACATAACATAATCATGTTATGAAAAAAGTGCGAGATCCAAATGGACGCACGACGTTCCCGCGTATATCGTATAAATTAATGAAAATGTGTTGTGTTCTAAAAAAAACAATGTAACTATAGTATTTTATAAATAATTGAATTTCTCGCGATCCAGTAGAATTAAATTAAAAAATTCGACGTTCAAAAAGATGCATTACAAAAAATAAAAACCAACTAGGTATTTAATTTCTCCCGATAACATTATAGTTTCCTATAATATTAGATTCCAAGTGTAGCGAAGAATGTTTTGGTTTTACTAAGATGTTGATTTTTTTTTTATGCTGTGTACAAAAGTTCGACCAGAAATCTTGCTCAGATATATACGCGCGACAGCATTTCTGAAAGAGAATATTGTACAGATGGTATTTTTAGGAGGTCATATTTTGGTTTTTTAAGTAGTTTTCATAATATCTGGGAAAAACCAGGATAAAACGTAAGAAAAACGGGAAATGTACGAAAATAATGCTTTTATTATTCTTATATTATATGGTACGTTAAATAACTCTATATTGTCCTTCTTAAAGCATATTTGTTATAATCTAATGGTTATCTATGCCTATTATCATCCTAGGAGTTTCGAGATTAAACTAGTGTTTCGAAAAAAAAATTGTTTTCATTTTTTGATCTTTTCTTAAACAAGGAAAAACAAATGAAATTTGCGTTTACTTAGACCCAAGCCATCACTCGCTCGGACTTACTTTATCGCAAAGTACTCCTAAATTTGTTGTGCAAACTTTTTTACTAATAATTTCTTCCCGATTTAAAATGATAGCACTTTTTTTTTTTTACTATAAATAAACAATTTTTACACTGTAATAATTGAAGGTGTCAACATTTGACTTTAGAATACAAAGATTACACTCTTATTTTCTTCTAATGTTTAGAATTTGAAACGAGTTAAAATGCAATAATCACAAGTATTTTTTTCAACATTTGACAGACAAATTATTAGTGTGAGTGTTTCCGAAAATTGTAATTTATAGAGAAGATAAGTATTTAAACGAGTTTGTGTAAAGTTTTCGAATATCCAGATTCATCTTCTATATGTCGGGATAGTTGGTCAGATTTGTTTAGCATGACAACCGAAAATATTTAAAAATTTCCAGTAAAATAAGACTTCTACTTAAATTCAATTACTATTTGACGTGAAATCGCTTATCGATTGAACATCAATATTATTATTATAACTATTATTATAATTATTATTGTTATTATTATTATTATTAATGTGTTAGGTATTGGAATCATAACGATTATACATAAAATGGCAAATCAATAATAATAAAGTTAATGTTTCTAATAAATGTCTGACATCGATTCATAGTCGTATTGTATTTACCGTTGTGTTCAGAATTTAACAATTTCCTATACATAATTATACATAATTGCACAACTGGAACATGCAGCATATAATTTCATAGAAAACTGTCAATTTCTGCGCAATATTATAATATGCTATTACTTTTTGACTTCTCGCTCCTAAATACCCATTGAGTAAAGAAAATAATACAACCCTATTCAGCATATGAACTAATGGGACAACCATTTATATTTTTGATATTAAGTAGTTCGAGGAAAAATCAAAGATACATTTCAATAATTGACGATATACCAACAACCATTAAAACGAATATTTATTCAAAAATACAAGGACTAATTTTAGTATTTTTGATACATGCGTACATTCATACATGTGTCCTGTACATTTTTTTAATTTTCTAAAAAAAAAGCACACCATTGTACCAGTGATTATTGATCCTATGATAATAGACCGATGGGGGTAAAATTTCACTTGTGATTATCGATTTCCTGATATTTGTCCGAAGGAGTGAAATTTCTCAGTGGTTACTAATCCTGATATTTAATATTATTTTATGAGTTTTTAATCGAATCGCAGTGGTTATTTATATTTTATTCGTCTCGGTATGTAAGCAATGCAATAATATAGGCGCGCAGAGTAAATACTGCAAACATACATGTTTAAACATAAACAGCACGTCTGTAACGAGGTTTTCAAACGAAAAAGTCAATATTATTCCTTTATTTTATGCGATACCGTTATATCATTTCGTCGAAGACACGTTATTCGATTTATTAGTAGATACCTATCTGGAAAACTAAATTCTCGTACAGTGCTTAAACATGATGGTTGTATAGCAGACAACTTTTGTGCAAAAATTGGGGATATTTAGAAATGCATATAGGTTTTAATGAATAAATAATATTAGTTGGTTCGCGAGCAGCAACACGAGAAAAACTATTCAGCCAAAGTTTCCGATCGGTTGTAATGAATTAGATATTAAATATACCTACAGAGTATAGTACTAACCGCTGTCGATACGGTTCCCTTCAAAGAAGATCCGGTAGAGTTGCGGGTAATAAAGAATGGATAAGTGCGGTCAAAGCGATACAGTAGTAAAGAAAAGTATAAAGGTCGTCGAAAAACTGATGGTGTGCGACGAAACGCTAATACAAAATAGTACACGTATTTCGGAAATTACGTTTTTATATTACTAATTTTCGACAATTTTAACTTTTAACCAAGTCGAGTTACCTTTCTTTTCTACCTTGTCTTTACGTCTTAGGTATGACGTTAACACGACCTATAGGCACTGTTTCAATTTAACTTGCTTAACTTGTGTTATTACTGATTATAATTATAACGCACTCACCTTGTCCGGAAACACCGAATAGGATTTTCAGGTAGTGTTGTGGACGGTGATATAAAGAACTATAGAAGTGTTAACCCATTAACGGTATGGCAACGTAAATAAAACTTTTTTTGGATATTTTAATTAATTTCTTGTACTGTGTTTATACTATCATGTCATCGACAAAACTTCGGTGTAAATGGGTTGATCGCTATAAAAATAACCGCAAAAGAATTATTAAGTTAACGTTAGACATTGTTAATATTCGGAACAATCAAATTAGTGTTGACTATCCATTTGGTGGTCTCATTGTTATTATTTACATCGCGTTGCTATACAATAATAATATCATATTCATATGATTGTTACAACAACATTTTGTGTTCGGAAAACGATCTGACGTATAATAATATTATTGACATTTACTCGTTTTACAACGGTTTGTGTACCTACTGTGTATGCGGCTTGTTTTTTTACTGGTATAAAACAGTAGGGTAGGTATATTATTAAAAAAGTGTCGACTGGCAACTTTTTGGATACGGACTTTGGTGCGGTCATTTTTCATATTCGTCCCGAAAAAAATCTGAATAAACGGCTGTATGTGAAGGGGAAAAAAACGTTAAATAAATTTAATTTCAAAACTCTGTTCGGAATAGTTATCGATTTATCATTGCTATTTTCTAATCTCAAATTATAATAAAACACCAGCTCGTTGTCCTACCCCCCCCCCTACATAATATTATACCATGTCAGAAACATCGGGTTCGTCTATAACAGTGGTTTCCAACCTTTTTGACACTACGTTCCAGGATTAAGGAAATATTCGATAACATTTAATACAAATAAATATCACTAAAAAATTACCTTGAAAATGTACGTAGGTCCGTCAACATTTTAAGAGGCAATGAGTGATGGGTGCATTATGCCAGGCGAACTTAGATAGTTGGGATGTTATTTTGATACCTTTTTGTTTAATATTAATAGTAAGAGTATCCAATATTTCAATATTTAGGTTATTAAAAATTATTACAATAGCCTCAAATGTGTGCAATTTTACCATATACATCATCAATAGTGTACACGGTATCTGTTAAAATTAGAAAAAAAGAACATGTGGAATATGGGTAGACTAATTATCTACGTATACATTTTTTCAAACGTATTACCAAAGTATCCAACATCAATAAAAATAATATGATGTGTTTTATTATGTAAAAACGGATAACCACCGCAATAATGTAAGGAATTTAATCTTTTTAAACAAAAGGTACGTTACGTTCTACATCAGGTTTCAATGTATCGACTTGCCAATTTTTTTTCGAAATATGTTTTGCAATTTTGACTTGAACGGGTAAGAGACAGACAGCCAAATTTTCGAATTATATAATATAATTATGAGTTTAATTTTTATTATTAGCCATTTGGAAACTGTATGTGTGTGGAGGGGAGGGTGGTGGTGACAAGATGATAGTGATGGTAGTAATACTGAAATATGAAATTGCGTCGTTAAAAATTTGAGTACAGCCCACCACTGGTCTTCCATATAATAATATAGGATATAGAACGCCAACAGATCGTCAATAAATTATAACGTAATATTATTCAAATACACTTTTACAGACGATTTCGACAGTCTGGTGTTCATTTTTTCTTTCTTTCGGTACAAATATTGTTCGCACGCATCTCCGATAAGTTTTTATTTATTACTGTCAGTTTCGTAGACGTAGAAAAAAAAAATTATTGTTTGAGTTGTGTTGAAATACGTTGGTTCACTATTTCGATACCTGAATCGTCCGACCGCAGTTGCGTTCAGTCAAATTTTAATCGAAACAATAACCAAACAAAAGATAGTCTATATTATGTTAATATGTTTCATACAGAAAATTCGGAAAAATAATATTATGTAAACACTTATTTTGTATCATTATGATAAAATGACATTCCATCGAATAATATTCTGTCCGTGGCGGTAATGATGGCTGCTGTCTATTAATGTTATTGCAACTTCCATGCCGTCGTCTGACTAATTATATACTCGTCAACCGTGATGGTTCGTATATTATCAGGTTCGTATTTCATTGGTATTTTTTTCTCGTGCACCGGGGAATAAAAAAAAATAAAAGGTTAGCGTTCGCCCAAATGACCATCAAGTGTTATCTACGAACATTTAGTGATTTGATTTCGTTTTTTTTTTAAGTCTACTTACATTGCAATATTACGTAATAAATATAATAATATTGATTGATCAAAAGGTATGATATTGATCGACAAATAGAGACGGTTGAAATATCTGAATATTGGTTTGATAACAAAAAAAAAAAAATTATCCCCACAGCTAAAAAACTAAACGGATTTTTTTTTAAAAATAATTTATCGACCGCTACCACCGCCGTAAAACATTAAAAACGATGTCAAAATGTATACAGTGTAATTATCTCGACCGTGTCGGCACGCCTATAAATATATTAACGTTTTTATTATGCACGCCCATAATCGTGTTTTAATATTAGTACTTTATCTATCAAGCGATTGATATTATTTTTTAATAATTAAAATTAAAGGTAATGAGTAAATACCTGGGTAGATAACTGTATATACGCATATAATAATATTATTACGTTAATTGTTAATAATTGTTAGTTAATAGAGTCTAGGCAATGATTACGACGAAAAAATAAGAAAATGACAAAGTGATCAGAAATAATATGGCCATTTTTGATTTGGCCAATATTACCTCGATTAATTTAAAACCCGATATTTCCTGTAAAAACAAGTGCTATACAGATAGTTGGGGAAGGGTTTGAAAGTTGAAACCACTAAAAAGCACATCCTTGATACTTACACAATTTAAATAAAAAAATTGTATCCCCCTGGCTTCTTTTACGCGTAAAAGGGTTTTGTAAAGCCGAATAAACATCTATCTCTTACAAAAACACTATAAAATTCATATTAAAATTCAACCAGAATATTTTGTCACTTCAGTCCGTCTAAAAAACAAATTTTAATTCTCGAGATTGAGCTCGGTTAATCCAGAGCGAGCTGCTAAATGGGTCCAAAAGTAGCGAAAGAAAATATGTATTTATATAGTATCCTACAGTGTTATCCGAATGCTAATATTTGTTTTTTTTTTCAATCAGGTTTTGTGTCAGGGTCATAGATGTAGAGAAAAATTACATTTTTATTTTCATCCCTTAATAACTGAAAACAATTTTTTTAACTTTTTACTTGCCAATGTGTAAAATATATGATTTTAAACATTTGAATATATTATACATTCAAATCCGATCAATAGTTTTTTAGTAATAGACTTTTTAATATTTAGAAAAACATATGAAAAACGAGACTATCATGTTACGCAATAGCGAATCATAGTGGTAATACAAAGTAATAAAACGTTCAAAAGATAAACATTTGTACAGTAACCTAATTTTCATTAAAAAACGGCTATCACTAAGCAACTGTTAATCAGATATGAATGTATGATAAATTCAAATTTTTAGAATATATTTTACAAAATGGCTATTTTAAAAATTTTAAAAGTAAACAAATAAAAAGTTATTGTTTTTTTTCCAATTATTAAGGGACAAAAATAAAAAATAAGCATTTAGTTATTAGTATTTGGATAACCACGTAGGACACCCTTTGTATATGTATATATGCATACATCACGGAAAAAAAAAAACATTGCAAAATACAATAGTAGGTTTTTTTCGGAATAAATTCAAGAGAAACGTTTAAAATTAATTGCATGAATAAAATAATAAAACGCGTACATTCACTTACGTTTGATATTTACTGTTTTTAACGGATTATTAATGAGATAGGCCACGTGTGCAGATTGTATAATATATAATTGCAATGGCGTAAGCGTTTAAAAACTGTTTTAGGGATGGTGTGAGACATTGAATGACGTGTATAACAATGGTGGGTATCCATTCCTCACACTCTCCTCCTTTGAGGTTTTCAATACTTGCATATTATATAAAAATTCCAAATTGAATTCGAACTAACATAATAAGTCAATAGTTTTAGAACACCGCACTAACATTTTAACTAGGTATTTTTATTTAGATTTTAAACAAATTTCAATTGTTTAATTTATATTCAAAAAATATTCTTTGAGATTAAAACTATATAATTACCCTCCTATACATTCACCACCAATAAAAAATTAATAAATAAAATTTAAATAAATTCAGTGCAAAAATAATAGTTTCGTTAATAAAAATTTAAATGGAAAAGTTGATAACCTGATTACTTGCAATACTTCACTATACCTAATATAATAACACAGTATATTATATTGTGATTTTAGACTGAACATTATTTTTGTTTTTTTTACAAATGTACAACTGTGCAGTTTGTCATAGAATTTCGGCGACACAATAACAATGAGATAAGGGTACACCACATTTGTATTGATTGATAAATTGGAAAATATTCTAAAACGTCAATGGTCAATATGAAACACGATTTAGCTTCTAGGTATGTATAGTGAAATAATTTAACTATTGCGAAAATAAGACCAATGGGATCTATTCTCATATCCCCCACCCATAAATACATCACTGCAGAATAGGTGAAAATATCTCGTATCGATTTTTGTATCAAGAAAAGTTTCAAAAACATTCAAACGAAATATTATGTAAATGAATATTATTTCGAACGGTAAAACTTTTATTTTTACAGACTATTTCTTCAAAAGCGAACGATTTTTTACTAAAATATCTATTCATCTGGTCGTATAAAGTTTGACACGTATTTGTGTAATATTTCGGACTTCCATTGTACAATGCTTCAGATTATATAGACGTGTTTCTCTATAGTGTGTCCCATGATATTAGCCTACATTAGCATTAAATGGTATCTATCACTAAATTATACTTCAGCCTTGGAATGAAATGTGGTTTTTTTAGGAACATTTTTAATTTGTAACTATTTCAGAGTGCACATTCGCAAAATGATTAGTATAAAGTTACATAATAAAAACTAAAACAATTTAACTCGTACATTTTTTAAAAATCAAGAAAAAATTCTTGTTTTCTAAGCTTTAAATGATTGTACTACGGGCAGCTTAATAGACGGAAAGAAATTATGTAGATCAAAATGTCTTTTAAAAATACAATAGTAGTAATAGCAATACTTGAATATCTACAAATATAGTTGTTTCCGTTTAAGCAAATGTACTTTTCACTGTACTTATACTGTTAACCACACATAAATTAAAATCGATTCAATATGGTTTTTTTTAAATCTATTTTTCTAGAAAAAACTAATACATTTCGATTTAAATTCAACCAAGTAAAATATTTCATATTATAAACATATAATGTAGTTTACCTTTGTCGGTTATATACAGTACACGGTACCTATGTACCTAATATAGATTCATGTGGATTGTACTTGTGATTTGTTGCCAACTAACTTCATGCTTACTTTCTGTGGCGACGACGTGGGTACAAGAACCAACTGACTAAAACCGTACGACAAAATACTTGTTGAAAACATTTCCATTTGTATTGTGAACCAGTGCTTTTGACATATTTTTTTGAGTGTTCACCTTTGACGAATAGATTATGAATATCATCATGATTTCCGGTAAAAAAGTTGTTTATAGGCACACACAAATACTCAAAAATAAATCGCATATCATCAAGCCCGTATCCAGGGGGGGGGGGGTTAGAGGTTCAAACACCCCCCGAAATTTTCCATGTTTCCATTTCCATGTTATCTTATTAAATTAAATGCAAGTAGCAATGAGTTAAAAAATTGCATGGATTTTTACAAAAGCTTTTTACCGACTTATGACACTTTTAAGTCAGAATTTAACGTGTGGATGGAAAAATGGAAATCAGTACCCGATAAAGAACTCCCAAAATCTGCAATCGATACTCTAAGCGCTATGTCGAAGGACCTTTATCCAAACATTTGGTGTTTACTATCCATACTTGCAACACTCCCAGTGTCGACTTCGTCAGCAGAACGTACTTTTTCAACTTTAAGACGATTAAAAAACTATTTGAGGAATAGCTTCAGCGATGATCGTCTAACAGGTTTAGCTTTATTGTCAGTCCACCGGAGTATCTTAATAAATATTGAAGAAATAATCAATACTTTTTCCAAAATGCCACGCAAGGTTGANTTTAACCCCCCCCCCCCGAAAATTGATCCTGAATACGTGCTTACATATCATGATAATAATTCACAGTCATTAAAGGTGTAATAAAGACAATCAAAATTTCGAATTCCGACGAAATAATTACAATATTGTTTAGTAAATATTATGAACGAATTTTACTCACCGTCCACCCTAGTAAAAAAAATGTTTCGAAAATAACCCTAAAAATGTTCTCCCAAATAAATTATAAATATGTTATAATATTTACTTATACTGTCATGCACGAGACAATAAATAGTGATCGAACAAAAACGTTTAAAAAATGTTTGAAAACAATTATTAATATAATAATTTGTTATATTATACAAAGCGAATTTTTTAAATATACATATTAAATTACTAACCCCATTCGTATGGCTAAAATTTGCATAAATTCAATTCCCGATATTTGGAACTTTTAAGTGTATTGAAAGACGATATTTTCGCAATAATTCACAAACATTTAAGAAAAATCCTGTGACGATATCAATTTTGGTTTTTCAAACGATAATCTTATTGTTTTCATATAAATTATCAAACAGATGATTTTTCTGAAAATGTTGACATATTGTTATCGAAATTCGAACGAAAAGTTTCTATGTTATTCTGCCGTGTTTAGGCAATTTCTTGTTTTGATTGGCACAGCTATTGGAAAACCGGTTATATGCTTATTATTTATTTCGGACGTAGTATAGTTTTAAAATTTATTTTAATAATCCGTATTATTAATAATGACATTCAAAAAAAAAAAAAAAAAAGAATAATAAAAAAATCAGTACTTAATAATAATACTTACACAGGCGCTGATATTTTAAAACATTTTATGTAATAGCTCTTTGTCACGAACCATTGTTATACTGTAATAGTAGTCATAAATCGCATGTTTGTTTACACCGAAATACTTATACATAGGTACACCGTTATAATGGCTATTTACCGAGCACCGGTTCAAATCACAGTGCGGTCAGGTCAAAAGTGCTAAAAGTGATGTAATTAATATTATTTAAACTAATGTGAAAATCCAACCTTTACTGCGGATTTCATTAGTCTTTTCAAATCAAAAACAAACATTTATCAAGTTTTTACGGATTGACAAGTATGAAATCTTAACCTATATAGTTTAGGCTACTTATTATATAATATATATATACACATCTAATAATATTATATTTATTGACTAATCAATAATCATAATAATATGATTAATGTTTTTAGAAAAAGATTTTTTTTTTCAATGCGACGAATCACTTGGTATAACTTGGGAGTTTATAAAGTTTTTTTTTTGTTTACGAATAATATTTTATTTTGAAAATATATAAATATTTAAAACTAAGTACTTTTACAAAGTGTTTTCCCCACCTCCCAAATTTTTTACAATCAAATTTCATCAAAATAGATCAAGTGTCTAAATTTTAGATTCTGAGCGAAGCGAGGAATGTATTGGTGTTTTACTATGGTGTGTTTTTAATTTTGTTTCTCTTTCTGTTAACATGTTTCCGACCAGAAATCTTGTTCCAATTATATAAAAACCGAAATTCTAGAATTATTTTTTCGTTAAATTCGTACTCAGACCTCTTGTTAGCAGATTGGAATGAGAAATATGTTATGTTTTTTGAAATCTTCTTTTTCAGGTGTCTATCAAATTGCGAACATTGACGACCATTTCATCAAATGCTCTCTTTGTCGGTTGTAACGTGAAACCACTCTGACGAGCTATTTCTGAACCATACCCTCAGATTTTGCAGCCATGATATTTTTTTTTCTGCCTGATCTATTCTTTCTCAATATTTTCTCTTGTAAATGGATAGAATTAGTTATAGTTATAGAATAAATAGAACAATTATGGACTATGGAAGTTAATTTCTATGATATGCTCTTAAATATATTAGATACGCAGATTAATATCCTAACGAGGTTCATGAAGTAAAATATCTCGCGTTACCAATGTTCATTTGTGATTTATGATTTATCCTACCTTTGCGACTTTCTACCTACTTATACTATCAAATTGGAGGAGCGTAGAGTGTAAATGTACAAAACACTCGCAATAGGCAAAAGGCAATTTTCAATTTTTTTTTTTATAACTTGAAAATAATAATGCGTTATATAAGAGATTCATTTGTGCGGTCGGTAGATACGATAATAGTGTAAAATGACAGATGTCATATTTTTATTATAGTTATTTGACGTGAAATGCAATAGCAAATGTATTGTTTCGAAATATTGTATTTTCTTGAAAAGTTCCGTTGTTTCACCCAAGTGCCTACGAGTCACGGTAAAAACTAGCGAATTTGAATATAGATAATAAAAATGCGATTGTGTCGTCAAATCATGTTAAAAAAATAATAGTTTACTCGTACGGGCGTAAATCGTTTGACCCTGAGAGAAATGATTCTGTCGGCATTCTTGAGTACATTATTGTACGTAAATAGTATACGATAATAATTTTAGAATATTTTATTCCATTTAAATATACCAAGACAAAACCATAATAATAATGATGATATTATTGTTATTGTTATAATGTAGGTGCTAATAAAATTTATAGAATTTTACAAATACATAAACTGTTTTGCGTGTCATTATACTGTAGGTTTTTTATTTTTTGCCAACTGTCAGTTTTTAGTCTTTGTAGATGACGGGTCAGACGCAGGTATATTGCCATCATTTTCACGCTGAGAGAAAATGTAAGATAAAAAAAACAAATCATATTTTTAGAATGTATTCATCCCTGCAAACCAGAGACTAACAATAATCTGACTGTTAAAGAGGAGGTTTTTCCCACACGTTTTTACTGTCTCAGTTGTCTAATTAAAAAAAACATACTATAATATTTTATTATGTTACTTAGAATTTAAATTGGAGCGTTAAATACGTTGATATTATAGAGTTTGAATACAGATCATAATGTTTTAAAACGAAAATATATATTTTTGAGGAGAGTACGTAGTTGTTTTTCTAAAATTACCAAACAGAAAAATATAAAAACTAACATATGATTTTAACTTTTGCGTTTGATAATATTTCAGAAAAATAACAACTGTAACTACCATACAAATTATGTTACTTTTTAAATTTCGTTACCTGTATTTAAACTATAATTTCATCCTAAACCCCAAAATGTTTGTTCTAAATATGTAACGACGTAAGCGTAACGTAATTATATTTTGCTACGTTACTCATTTGTTGGACAATAAACGATGCCGAGTATCGGCATATATCCTCATCTTTAGATTTTATTTAAATCCACAATGCACCCCACGTTCAAACAATTTTTGTTCAAATAAAATACCGAGAATTTTTTATGCGCCAATAAAACACATTACTTTTATATTATATAATGTAGGAAAATACGACATTTAAAAAATACCTTATTAAAAATGGCAAAATTATATTAAAATGGGAAATTAAATTTAAAAAAATAATAAAGTAAAATTAATGGTGTTAATTGACAATTCGGCCCATTTTTATTTGAACTTCTTAACGCAGAAAAGAACATATTGGTTTGTTTGTGTGTTTATTTTTATTTTCTGTCTGTAAATTGCTTTTCCACTAAAAACCATGCCTCAATCAAAAAATGATATGAGATCATTTTTTATGAATTTAAGCTTAGTGACTTCTATTTCCAAGTAGGTTTCTTTATAATTAGAAAATCAGTAAAATACATAGATGGAACAATTTACAGCGTTATCGATTTTATTTTATTGTTATAATTCGATTAAATATATTCCTATATACTTGAAAATTGGTGCAAAAGATTGGTGCAAGAAGAGCCAATGTTATTTTTTGAAAAATCAGTTAGAAATAAAAAAAAAAAATGTACAGTTTTATATTTTCTAAATACAATTTTTTTTAAAAGTTTTTTTAAAAATTAAAAATCACACAAAAACATTAATTTACATTTAATAAAATGCACAGTCTTAAGGAGAATTAAAATTTCAAAGCTCATTTCCCAACAATCACAAAATGTGACATTGGCTCTCCTTGCACCAAGCCACAGATACATAATACATATATTAACATTTCCTCGACGTGATTTTATAGGTATAATGTGAATACAATTATTTTATCAAACAGATATACTTGAAAATTTAACACAAACTTATTTGTAAAAAAAAAAAAATTCACGCGTAATGTAGTACTTTTTATTTTTGTAAATGTTTTAAGATTACATTTTGTTATTCATTAGCAATAATTTATCACTGCTCACAGATATAAGTTAAGCAACTTTATGTATCCTACCTTCTAAACTTCCCATTTACAACAACAAACTAATTTTAAGTATTTTTTTTTCTTTTTTTGTCTTTTTATAACAACACGACTTTTATGTACGTAATGATTACAAAATATAAATTTGATTAATTGCATATAGTTTAATTACGAATGGAAAATACTGATGTTGATTTAGTTGGAACATAATATTAAATGGTGCAAATATTTTTAAATGTTAGAGGATGAAATAAAATTGTATCTCGTTAGGTTATAATTTTTAAAAATGTGTTATTTGATTTTCAGTAAATAATAATAAAAGTAAAAAAAAAAAAAAATAATAATAATTATAATAATAATAATAGTAAACAAACTAATAAATATTTAATGAATAAATTCACTGTGAGAATATATTATTAAAAAGAATAAAAAAACGTCGAAAGCATATTTTTATTTTTATAATATTACGCATTCTGTTTCACTCGCATCGTTTGACAAATCCCTAGAGATAAAACGAAGACATATAATATATATTTATAAAAAAATAGTAAAAAACATAAAATATAAATTCAAAAAAATAGATTTAAAAACAAATCACAATAGTTATCGGACAAAAAATGTTATACTAATGTAACTGAATACACGAAAATCAAATCTTCTTCTATAATCGATTCTGAGCCTAGCTCGCTATATATTGGTAGTTCTACTATGATGTACTGATATAGATTTTATTCACATTGATTTCCGAAACTATATGTTCTGGACAAATACGATTTGCAGTAATTTGATTCCGGGGAATATTTCCTGGGATTTATACGTTTTGCCCATTTATTATCCGGATGAATACGGGCTCTCCCGCATCATCACGGAACTGTGGTTAGGTACCTAAAACCGAATAAATGTTCATACATTTTCATTTTAAATTATTTGAATATTATTAAATTATTCCAAAAACCGTTTTTTGGTGAGTTAATTACAGTAAACTATTTGCTAATTGAGCCATCAATGCGTTTCGGAAAGACTGTTTATTGCAACTGTTCGCTTCACAAATGCATTTTTCGAAAAACTACCGGATTCGGTATACACTTGCGAGTGGTATTTACTGGTTTTGTTTACTAGTTATTATATTAAAAATAATTTGCAATCCGTATAGAAATCATTTTTCATTTATCGTTTTGGTTAATAACTAAGTAACAAGCAGCATACAACAACAAATAGATGCAGAAAATGCAGAAAAGTGTGTATCGTAAATTAACTCGCTAAAACACGTCTATAATTATATTATGTATGTATCTAGAAGAAACCAAAACGAAATGAATCCCCAGCTAATGTTGGCTTTCAAGCTTGTTACTGGATGCTAGTCAAAGTTTATCGACTTTGAGTCTTTGCCGAAGACTTTTTCGATAAATCAATTTTTAGATAACCGACTAGATTTTTGCATTAAGTAAAATTATTAAAAACATTTTTTTTTTTTTTTTCATTATTTACAAATATTTGTAGAGATCTGAAATGTTCATAGAATATTTATTTTGGATGTAGCGGAATAATTTTGAAAACATTCTGATATTGAGCTTTTTACAGAAAATTTAACACAAGATTAATAAGTTAAAGGTACTGAGTGACCGAGAAAAAACATAGTAAAAGTCACGGCATTTCAAAACATGCGTAATATATAATATGGAATAATAAACATGCTCAGAATCGTTTTACATTAGCAATGATTAATCGTTGTAAACTTATGTACATTAAATTATTATTTTTATCCTATATGACCTTCTAACGCCCCAACTACAACAGTGGCGCATTCGTCAGCAATATTAGTTCCTTTATTTTTTCGTTGTTGCCCTTGGCGTTTCTGAAATGTATTTTACCTCGTGAAATTAAATTGAATTGATTTTCATTTTAAATTATATAAAAATACCATACTGCAAAAAAAAAAAAAAAAGATAATGACACTGTGATCCGTCTACCTACACAGCATAAAATACATTGTTAATTTATCTCGTAAAATAAAAAAAAAAATATCCATAATACATACAAAATATAATAATTATAAAAGCCACGAAAATTGCTATTATTTACAGAATATTATTCGGTTTAAGTTGTGTAGTAAAATGTTTGTCATGTACGATAATTCGTATTCTATATTCACCCTGAACGCCAATAATATACGTTTCGGACCAAGACGAGTACAGCTCGTTTTTCAGACATTCGTCATTTTTACAGCCATTTTTGTACGCAAATCGTAAGTCGTCTTATACACACATGCATTTTTAGATATAAACACTGTTTACCATATAATGGATCATCCAACACTTCGAACAATGGGTACAGCACAGTCGGTCGTTTTGTCTGTGGACTGAAACGTAATGTATTAAATTGGACATTGGATTAAAATATGATTGGATTTTATAATACGCATTGGACAACATAAAATGCCATCGACCGAAGTAATGATAGTATTATTATATTAATTATACTTATTACACAAAATCGGCTTGTTCGGGGACTTTGACTGCGAGTTCTACACGAAAATCTGACGGTATCGGATTGTGACGGCGAACATTACTGAGGGCACCTAAAGGCGTTTGACAGCTGATGAACTGATAAACCGTCGCCGTCGGTCGGAGACAAACGTAATTATATAACTATGACGATATAGTTACCGTCGAGTCGAATCGTTCGCGTGTTAAAAATGTTTTTACTCGTCCGGGTTCCCGTGAACCAATTCCGGCTGGCTGCACGATCCGATTTCGGGAAAAATACTGTTTAGAAACCAAGATCTACAGGGTGAATTTTTAAGCATGCTCATTACGTATGTATGATTAAATTATACGTGAATTCAAATTATCACTTTCGAGATTTGTATGTGGCAGACCGTAGTGAAAGAAGATATTTTCAATTACTTAAATTGTTCACAACGTTTAGGGAGTATCCTGTGGCAATACCGTTTTTAGTGTTGCCAATGAGAAAATCCGTATTTTTGATTCGAATAGTTAATCGAGAACCGATTTTACGTTATTGTCCTCGGTATTTAAAGTAAAATTACTCCGAAACTTTTCGTTTAATTTTCTATTAAAATACGTCAATATTTTTAATAAAATCATCTGATTGACAATTTGCATTAAAACATGTAGGTTTTCACATGAAAACCCAAGTTTGTATCGATAAAGTATTCTTTAAATTATTGTCTTATCTGCTATCACGGATTAACGGCTTATCACGCTTGAATAGCTATTATAATTTTGGTGATGTTTAGAGCAATGTCTGCATATTACTCGGTTTAGTGAAAGTACTCGTTTCAGTGTTAATTTGCAATGCAATAATTATAGTTTTCCGATAACTAAATGCACGTTTTAACCAAAAGACGGTCGGGATCAGCAAACAATTTAAACAATTTACGTTTGCCTACTGTCTTCGGTTATTGGGTATCCAATTGGTTTACAATTTCGGGATCACGTATAAAAATCGAAAAATAAATTGGGAAACAATATTATTTTCGCCATAAAGTATTTAAGTTAAAATATATCTTGGTCAAACAGTATTTAAGCCGAGAGTGTTACATCCGAAAATATTATAGCTGACCGTAAAAGCTGGACAAATAATGTGTGATAATGACTGGTTACCACAACAGATAATAATAACACGGTGGCAACGGCTGTGGCTACCAGGTTAAAATTTTATCGAAATAATACGTTTAATACGTTAAATAACATGCATTTATATCAAAGAAAGTATTAAAGATCATATCCGATTAATATTATTCAATTAATTGTTTGTTTAAAGTTGTATCATAATTCAATAAATGCACGTTTTTTTTAGTTTTCATTCGAGAGGTCGACGTTCAAAATTTTCTGATTAAAAATTTAAATACATCATCAATCTTGTAGAAAAGAACAATAAGAAATGTACATAGGTATAACCGACAGAGTAACCTGTTTAAAATATACCCATTGTCCTCGGAAATATTCTGGTCAGATAATATTTTCGACTTGAACTGGACGGACCTATTTTCGTCTAAGATCGACTTTTTTTACCCAAACGCAAAAAGAAAAATGATTTGGTTTTCGCCCAAAGCAATATTATACATCATAAACGAAAAAAAAAATTTTGGTTACTATTGTCAACGAGTCTGTATGTTAGAAGTCGTAAACAATAAAATACTTTCAGCTTATACAGCGAACTCCAGATTCTAAATTAAATTATACACTGTAATCTCGCCAATAAATCAGATAAGGTATAATCGAAAATCGCACTGAATTATTGAAGCTCATTTAGCTTTAGACAATTCAAATGTAATGTAAGTTATTACTTATGGAGGTGAACAATTTTTTTGTTTTTAATGATAAATAAAAAATATATTATTATTTTTTCGTGTGATACAAATTTGAAAATGTTGTGCGAGGTTGGTTCAATTTACGTTGACGGAACATTTAAATGTTGTGCATGATTTTATACAAGTATAAAGAACACTTTTAATAAAAAAAAAAAAAAATGTTAACCAAAATGTTCTTTTTATTTATGATGAATAATATTACTTTGGGCGAAAACTAAATCATCTGTTTTATGAGTTTGCGTAAAAAAAAAGGTAATTTTCGAGAAAATCAAAAGGTCGATTTCGAGGAAAACATGTATGGCTTTTGAACTATATATGATTCGGTTGTGTTACTTTTGGGGTTTTTTTTACGGTCTTCTATATATAACTGTACGGTAAACAAAACAAACGACTCGTTTTCAGTAACATTGCAATCGAGCGGGTATTAGCGAACGCCGGCAAACTGTTTACCGAAAACAGCTGCAATGCCGAAACACTTCTATTGTCAAAAAATTAATAAATACTGCGAAATTTCAGATAGACACTTGACGGTGATGGGCGAGACGTGGGGTTTAAAATACCTGCAAAGTATCGCGTTTGCCGGGCGGAGAAAAGCCTTTATAATAATAATAATAATAATAATAATAATATTCGATCTGCTGTGTTCTGGGGGATCGGAAGTCGCTGCCACGGGACCATCGTCACCTCCGGCTGCTATCCACGGGCGCATTGTTTCGGAGGCGTATGTCTCGCAAACGTGCGTGCAGCGAGCGGTGTCTTTGTCGAGGTGTCGATGTTTTTGTCGAACGTTCCGATCTAATTTCACGTCGGAGGACGCTGTGGCTTCGTCTTTACACACACGTGCGCGCGACAGATAAAGACGCGAACGGGGTTCGCAGACGACGACGACAACATAAAGTCGAAATAATAATAATAAAAAATAATAATAATAATGTTATATCGTTATCACGACTCGGGACTGAATGACTACAGCACTTTAGTGTGGTGTCGTGCTCTCGATGTAACAATCCAATATCATAAATAGGACGTGATGATACCCGTACGTGACGTCCGTCTTACGAATGCACCACGTTGTATCGAATTTTTGGGGGGCAATTCCGCGTTGTTAGTTTTACCGTCAGTAACATCACTGAAAATCGCATGTATCTGCACCGGAGACGTAAAAGTAATAGACACGCATCGCTGGTGTTTCTATACGTCGGAGGTTATACGTAGCGATATTTCCAAGAGAGGTATGGGCATTTTCAAAATATGAAATTATTTCATATATTTACATCTCGCTTGAAAACTCAAATATCAATAAAATCGACGAAGACGAATTTTTAATGGCATTATAATATTATAGTTACCCTAATAATAGTTTATTCCCGGCATTCGAAGTTATAAAATAATAAAACATCTATAGGCATGCAATTCCTCCAAAAAGCAACAAGTCTGTAACTGGAACTTACGAAAATACAAAATGTATATGAACAATGTATATAATATGTGAATGAATAAGTTAATAAAAATACTATGCGTAAAAATACAAAAAAATAGATTATATTTTGTAATAGGTAAGTTACTATTTTAGGTGGGAAGTTGGAAAGTTGGGATATATGGAATTGAAATTGTATTTAGTGTAATCAACAATAATCTATTGCTAACGAAAAACGATTCAGAGAAAAGTTTGTATATAAGGTACATGTTACTACGATTTTAGTCAAAACGTTAACATGAATTTATTTATTTTATTGTATTAACGCCAAGCAATAACTATAGGTAACACAAATACAAAACGAGTAAGAACGTAAAAACTAATAATAAAAAAAAAAACAATCAAAACTAAGTGAATATAACGACCAAAGTAAATTAATTCTAGAAAAGTGTGTTACTAAATATTAATCAGTTAGGGCAGAAAATCTGAGGGCTTATTAATAATAAGACGTAGCATTCTGTGTAACGAATAACTGTGACCATAAAAGGTTAAATTAGTAGGAATAAGTAGGAATATAAAATAGTGATGTTATCTTCAGGGGTAGAGTGGGACGCGGAAATTGATATTGAAAAGGTAAAGGAGGTCAGAAGCGTCTGGTGATTCATCAAGTAAACCTTGAACAAAACGAGAATCAGCATCGAAATGACGAGACGAGAGTGATTGGATATTAAATATTACTAAATTTTAGTGTATTTAGTACGGTTGAGTAATCATTTGGGGGTGGTCTATTTTAGGTAAAAAATAATATATAAGAAAAGTCTATTCTGGCCTCTTTCTAGTATTAACTGGTCTTTATCTAGGCAGGGGTGCAAACTGTCACACCAAATTCTAAAATCAAACATACAAGGGAGAAGAAGACAACTGAAACAGCTAATCGAACTGATTTCCAAAATTTGATATTAAAACTTACAAAAAAAAAATTATTATACTTAATTACATTCGACTTTATTATTTTTGACCACTTAGTACAACTACTGACGAACCTAGTGTTGAATTTTCAAGCGTTTCCGTTCCTTAAATAGCTAAAAAATCACCAACATGTTTTAAAAATTTGACCGCACCTAGAAAATGCATAATATTCGAGTTCAACAGTTAACAAATATGTACGCGTTACAAATAAAACTTTCCATAGTTTAAGTACTTAATTATTAATATAATCGTGTTATTTCTGTTTTTGTATGTTGTTCTGTAATTTTTTTTTTATGTTTTTTATACTGTGTATCAAAAGAAAAGTTTCGCTAAAAGAATTTTACGAGATCCACCGAGATCCGATTCAACACACTATCGCTTGTATAATAAAAATAGCTTTTGAATTAGTAAATTTGTATTTTGTTTTTTCCCAACCGACCGACTTTGAATGTTTTATTGGCCTATAATAAAGTGTTGAAAATGCGTGTATAAAAAGATTTTGTTATTAGTATATATATATTTTTTTCATTCTCTCTCACTCTTTCTCTCTTTCGAGTTTAAAAGTCCCCGTGACGTTGATTTCGAAATGTTTTCTTTTCTTTTCCAATCCTTTAGACTTTCTGCTGAAATCTAAAAAATAAACGACTGAAGTTAATCATAGCATAATCAGAAAATTCGATCACAGAAACAACGCGATGAAAATTAATGACAGTTGTTTATAAAGCACGAATGAAAAAAAAATCAAAAAACCAAAAAAAGTTTTCTTTTGTATAAAATATTGTGTAACATTCAGTAAAACACTCTCAATGCGTTATTGTAGGGGAATTATTATACCTATCTCCAATACCACTGAAACTACAATATTATTATTTTCCTTTATGTTGAATCACTTAACAGTTTAAATGTATACCAATATCGGCTTAGTTTTTATACTTACTGTGATACAAAATATAATGGATATTCAGTGGTGTATTTAACATAATTTTTTTTTTCTGAAAGAGACAATGTTTTTCATAGTACAATTAAATATGTAGGTACATTAAAAAAGAACACTTTATTATTAAATTTAAAAATAAGTGTAAATCGATTTTCGTATACTTAGACACAATTCGCATTCAAAAAAGATGCCACACTTGAAAATCAAAACAATATTTCTAGGAGAAAGTTGTTCGTATATACAAATATCTTTAGATCACATAAAAACAAATTTTAATTTTTAAAAAACACATTATTTACCAAAAGTCCCATATAAATATATATTTGTGTAATATTACGATTTTTTTTTTTTGTTGACTTTTCTACCAGTAATTTTGCTCAAACTTATAATAATAGCAAATTATCTAAAAGGAAATATTACTGGAGAGGTACTTTAGAAAGGTCATTTTTCGATTTTCTCAAGATTTTTCCTAGCAAATGTGAAAATCCAGAAAAAACAGTAAAATCGTTAGATTAAACAAATATTATTAAAGTTAATATATAATGCATATTTAATTATTTTATCATAATATAACATATATTTTGTTGAAAAAGCATCATTATCAACTGAAATCCGCTCAGAGTCGTTTTTTCGTTAATAATTTCTAACAGATTTACATTAAATTACATATAACAGTAGATGAAGCCGTCCCCATAATCCTAAGATATCTTTTTTTAGATTCCGAGCATAGCGAGAGAACTGTTGGTTTTACAATGCTGTTTATTTTTTTATTTTTTATTTATTCCATATTAAGAACACGTTTTTTCCTAGTAGACTTGCTCCGATCTTTACGAACCGCAATTTTTATATAAGCTCAAGTTGTTTAAATTGTACTTTAAACAGAACATTTTTTGATAATCGACGCCACTTTTTAAATATAATATTTAAGTGGGAAAATACGTAGGGAAACGTACAATTTCACGATTTTATTATTTTTTAAAAACACGGGCGAAGATTTATATCAGAAAAAATTATTTAAAAATATTTAAAAATTGTATGTTTCACGAAATATTCAAACACTATAGGTAAGTAGTTGTAGCTTCTGA